TTTCCTCAACGTTTTTCCCCCACGTTTTCTCAACTTGTTCCCAAGTGCAAACAGGATCAGTGAAAGTCACAAAAAAGGTGACGACGGCGGCGTCACAAAAGTTCACTCATGCAACTCAACACAGTTCTACTGCAAAACGGCAAACCCACTGAATTAGAGCTTAGGTGAGAAAGCGGGGTCATGCAACTACATGGGAGATCATCATGCAAAAAGTCCTAAGGTAGGCAAGCGCTTAACCTTTTTCCTCAACCGTTTCTTGGATCCTTCACTTGTTTTTGATTGATTTCCATTGGATCCTTGCAGGCGCCACCTGGTAAAAATCCGTAGTTATTTTCACAAAACACTTCATCACCTTTGTTGTTCCATTTTCTCAAGAGAACTTTGCTATCTTCATTGCATTTGCCTTGGGTTTGGTGGCATGGGTCGTTACCAGCAAAAATGCTGAACCAGGACAACAAACATAGGGGCTGTTGGCTTCCAACTGGTCCCTTGGCCAGGGTGGATGGTGCTGGAGTTCTAGAATTCAAACAACAAAAGTACCAAACATGTCAGCAACCACGTCCCAGATGAAAAGTCAAAAACAACCTCAGTAAGTGCAAAATTCCCCAAACACCTCGAGAAGTCAAAAAACACAAGCAAACACAACATAAAATGTCAGCAACCATCCAAAAATCCATCACTACATGCACATTGTCCAAAAGCCCTAGAGCTCAACCAAATAACACATACCACAAACCAAACAATCAACATGTCAGCAACCATATCCCAGATAGACATTCCCAACAAACCCTAAGTAAGTGCAAAGTTTCAAGCAAAACCTCGAGAATTCCCCAAAACCAAAAACACACAACAAACAAAGACATGTTAGCAACCAGGAGGGGCCCTTTGGTGGGTTCCATGTTAGTGGACAGCAAGGTAATGGCAACCGCAGATGAAGTTAAACCCCTGATTGATTTTGATTGGGAACTTTCCCCCTTTAGTGGGGATTCAGACAATTTTTAGAGGGAACGCCGCCGCTATTAATAGAACTTCACTCCTTGAGTTCCTGAATTTTATTCAACTTTTTGGGAAGACCATTTTAGCGGTAAAACAACAGGGGTACATGAAAAGTGTGGATTTTTCTGACCACGTGCTGTAGTGTACGGTCCTTGCTTCGGCGTGCGTGCGTGTGCGGGGGACATGGGGGCTTTGCATTTTTCCACCACAACCAAATTTGGCCATGATTATGGGAGCAAAGAAATGTAATTATTTAGCCCTTTTTGAACAACTATTTTCGTACTTTCTCCCGTTTACGTAAACATTTGTCTTTCTTGACTTAAGACTTTTGCAGCCTTAGGGTAGCGGTGCATATCTGTCACTGCTTAGCTTATTCATTTGGCATATGACTTGGCAAGTAGCACAGCTATTCTATTGATGTTGTTATTGATTTGGCTTGTTTTTGTGAGCTGTTCTTTTTTGATTTTGAAGGGGGCTTTGGTATTGATTTTAGAGCTCTTAAAAGCAATTAGTTTCTATTGAAAAAAGGCTGTTTCAATAGGAATCAAAAGTTATTGATTAGAACCAATAGCCGATGTCCAGCATATTCTTTTCATTGGAGAAATTGAAAATTACCTTTCATCTTCACGCCGGATAAAGGGATCGCTCACTTGCATGTCAAGGATGACATACCCTATCTGGTCGGCAACAGAACGGTGAGGAGCAATCGTCATCGGCCGATTGTTGAAGACGTTGCGGCTCACATGGACGATCTGAGAGAGATCGTGGGACATGAAGAAGAAGAAGAGAAGGAGGGTGAACCAAATCTCGGTGAAGAAGTTGATGATGGGAAGCTTCAAGCTTTTGCTGGAGAAGAAGCGGGAGTAATCGAGGAACCACCTGAGACAGAACATGCTGGTGCACCACCTGGAATGTTTGACTTCCGACCGCCCGGAGCAGCGGGACCTGTGGACATATCAGTCCTACGACCCGATGATGGATTGCCTGTCGGAGATCGCGGGGGTGAACTGGACCCTGAAGTTGCCAGGCTCCGAGCAGAAGGCCGTGGCCGTGTGCCCGAACCTGATGCGGAGCATCAAGATGGTGATGAAGGTGAGGATGATGATCCTGAAAAAGAAAGATGGGCATCCTGAAGAATGAGGCCAAGACTCTGACGCACCTACTGACGCACAGATACAGGAACCCATTCTGTGAGTCATGTGTGAAGGAAAAGATGAGACATTCCAAATCACGGTCCGGAGCTTTCAGCCGAGAGGTCAAGGTTGGTGGAGGCTTCCGGCGATGATGAAAATAACGACAAATATGTGACGATCATCAGGCGCATCTTCACCGGCATCATCAGGGTCACCCGATTGGAAGGAAGAATGTTACAACGGTGATCAACAGCATCAAACACTTCCCGAAGATCAAGCAAGCATATTCCGATGATGCGCCGGAGTTCATCCATGCCTGTTCAGAATTTATCTCTTCCTGGCAAGAAGCAGAACAACTCGAACCAGTTCATCGTGGATCAGACCACAGCCTGTCTCGTACACGCAGGACTGCCGACACGCTATTGGGTGTATGCCATCACTACGCTATGTCACCTGATGAACATCGAGGAGATTGATGGTTCGAGCGCGTGGTTCCGTTTGCATGGGGAGCACTTCAAAGGTGAGAAGATACCGTTTGGAGCATTGGTGGATTTCAAGCTAAGCGATGCTAGGAGAAACAAAAGGGAGAAGTTCGAGCCGAAGGGAGAAGCCGGCGTATTCGCGGGTTACAACCTAAGTGCGGGGCTCCGCTGGGCCTAAAGTATTGCGCCTGGGCTCTCACAAGGCTTGCTGGCGTGCTCATAATGCCCATCACATTTCCCATTCAGGAGAAGTACAAACAGAAGAATGACACGCTGGAGGGGGTCGAAGATGGAGTTGACGCCACCGGACTTGACATCCGTGACAAATTGCTGAAGACGAAGATTGGGAACCTGCTCTGACGCAGGGTGCAGAGCCGGACAACTTGATGCACCTTGAGGTGTCGCTGGAAATTGTGGAGAAGCACTCCCAGCTAGCTGAGAACGATCCAAAGAGAAAATACAAGGGTTGCGGTGTGGTGTTGGGGAACCAGATCAAGAACCAAACGTTGGACGCGGCATTGCTTCAGGACCCGCACCTGCAAATTTCAAATCTTTCCGGCGGGCTAACTTTCTTGGTTGCCTTGCGGGATGGGATGTGCAAATGGCGGAAGCCGTTCAGGCTTACATGCAGGCTGTACTATGTGGTACCATCCCGAGCTTCCTCCCGAGGCTGTTCCTGATGAAATACAAGAACTGTCCTTGCTCGAGGATAAAGAAGGTCTTGGATCTGCCTCCACCACTGGGCCTTGATGATCTCGTATGTACACTGACGGAGCTGGATGCCTCTAAGGCTCAATGAAGATACCAGTCGTTTTCGTTGGCCTTCTGACAGCTCACGCTGTATGATGAAGAACAACGTCAACATGTTGTCGGACAGCGCAAAAGCCTGTGAATGCTCTTTTTTCTTACCTCGCGCAAACCTTTCAATTTATTCTGGTTGTGCTGCATCGAGGTAAATCAGTGCTGCGGCTGCTTGCGGCAAACCCTGCATCACCTACGACCTCAGCAACCCGAAAAATTGTGCTGATCACGCGTTCTCTGATTTGCGGCATTGATTGCCTGAATATACTCAAGATTGGTTTCTGTGAATGCGGGCGCTGCAACTTTCCAGGACGCTCGCTTTCTTCGCAGGAGAATCTCGAACCGGCTGACAAATCACGAACTCAGAAATACCTCGGCGATGATGGAAGAGACTGCGGAATCTGATGGGCATTGCGAAAGTACTCCACGGTATTGTCCGGGTCTATATGTTTCTCATTATCAAAAAGTTAGCATTTTATTGACTGCTGCGTTCTCAACGAGGCGTTTCTTGAGGAGCGGTCAAATGCGGGTTCTATAGCCGTGAATGTCATCCAATCCCGTACCAGATCTTCACACCGAAGCCAACTAACACGGCCGTCACACGACGGAGGCAAGTTTGCCTTCATCGAAAGATTGATGGTCTCTTCATGGGAACTCACGCCGTTATGACGGCTTCCGAAGAAAGCAGCTACGGGTGGTTCTGCAAAGAAGTCCTCTTCACTTGACATCTTACGTTCGGAGAACCTGCTCCGCTACCACAGTTGATGTTGTAAATACGGGGCCCAATACGGCCGGCAATGCACCTAGTATAGTAGGTCCCCCAAGAAGATCTACCCAGCTGCAACAGGAATAAACCTGTAAAGAAGGAAATGACCACAATATGAAATATAAGGCAGTGTTTGGTCTGTTTGGTCCTTGAAGGATCAAATAATGCGAAGTTCCACAATCAGCAAAGCGATGGCTCCTTTTTACACGGTTGCTACAGGTAATGAGCTACACACCAGGCCTTGAGCCATGCGTACAAGAGATTTCTTTGTGAGAGAATCATGTGACACAAGCGCAGAACAAAACGAGACAGAGAAAACGCGGGGGAGCGGGGGGGGGGGGGAACAATATTTCATTAGTCTTGTGGCCTGGCCAACCTCAGAACCCCTCAGTCTAGCCCTGCTAGCGCAAGGACAGCCAGCCTCCTTCCACCTACCTTTCGTAACAAATCATGGATACCATCAATTGCCCATGCGCGGTTTCTTTTTGGAGAACTAAGCCCCCAAAACTATGGGCTGTTGCTGGGTGAACTCAAGTGACATCCTCAAAGCGACTCTCTACACGGTTGTTTGCCTTTTGGGGAAACCAACCTTGACAACACACCATGTCGTTGAAAGGGACGGACCTGCCGTGGATAAACGAAATTCTGCATCAGTTGGGATGGATAAGCCTGATGAGTATTCTGACAAATCATCTGCCAACTGGTCTCCTAAGCCCCGCAGGGAGAAAAAGGGTGCCTTTGTTTTGGTGGTTGGGTTGGATTTGTGCAAAAACACCAAAACCAAAAAGACACATCAATGTCTGGGACCTTTCAGCCCCCGGCCTTCCCCACAGCATCCCGGAGCAGCGCCTTAAGCTTACGCTCTGCCACGGCGAGCCCTGCGCGCCCGCCGCAGGCAGCAGCCCGGCTGTAGACATAAATCCCCGGGGGGCTTCGCTTTGACTCCTGTGCTGCAACTGAAGCTTCTGAAAATCAAAGTTCAACAAACTTTGTCTGTTCCTCCAGCTGAGGTTTCCCCACAAGTTGAAAAGTAGGCTGGAAGTCCGGCCCCTGGTCAAGGGAAACCGGGCAAAAACAAAAATAACCAGGACTGATAATTAATGTCTAATTGTCCACCCATGTGTTGCGGTCATCTTCTGTAACGGCTGAGAACAACGTTGTCCTCCGGCCGCACTTGCCGAAGCTTCGCTGTGCACTCAATGTCTCTCTGCTCGTGTTGATAACGAATCTTGACCTCGTCACCATCACCTACGGACTTGCGAACAAATGTGGCTTCGCACCACTTGCCAGGTTCTTTGCCGCCATCGGTCCAAAGGAACTCAATCCTTTCTCCGGATTTGTACTGTTGCTCGCTATGGTCATCCCTCAGGAAGAGGTATACAGTGGCTTCTTGTTCCTTGGTGGAAAAGCTACGCTGTTTACAGGATGTGACATAAAACCCTCCCAAAAACGTGCATACAGCGGGGCCAGGGTAAATGGCACAATTGCCCCATTTTGGTTCAGCCATCCACTTCACTTACCCCCCTACGCGCCACCTAAAGGCGTAAGGGTGTGGCTCTGCCAAGGCTCCACTTGCTCAAGGATGCTCTCACTGAGAGCCTTGACCTCTGCTTCTGTCAGCTCAGCGGTGTCTAATCCATTGGCTTCCCTTGGGCGCAGCTCGGCTAGGGCATCGCCTTTCCTTACCAACCCTTGGCATGTTAACAAACACGTGGTTCTTTGCAGCGTTTGGCACATGAACAGAACCAACACACGCACAAAGAACCAACAACAACTCAGACTTGCCTCCTTCAACGGAAAAACATCAACGCCAATTGAGCCTCCTGCTAAGCAAGGTGAAGCTTCTGCTCGTTGGTCCAATCCAAAAGCAGCCTCGCGCACGTGCAGGCGTCTTCGTCCCCCAAAAGCACCAGGCTGTCCCCAACCACCTCCACCCCGCAGCTGGCAGCTCGGGCGATGCGCTTGCTCACCTGAAAAAACATCCAGGACACAGCGAATGTAAAATTGAAAGTCGTGCATGTCTCAAAATATCTCAAAAGCAGAGTAGACTTATCATTTCTTGAAAGGCCATTTAAGACAGACCTCAAATGGGCAGCTTTGAATAAATTTGACAAACTCCGCGCCTTGCGGCACAAGCTCGCGTCGGGCGCCGGGTCCAGGATCTGCGCGCGCAAGGCGCTTGCCTGCTGCAGGCACTGAAAGCCGCCGTCCGTGGAGGCGTCGGCCATGCGTTTCAGGAGACGCAGAGCGCAGCGGCCCCGCGCCCAGGGGTCCAGGCTGTAGATGACCACATCCCGCCTTGGCCGTTCCCCCCTGCTCAACAAAGTCTAACGTGCGTAGGAGAGGGAAACCATATTTTTTCCAAAAGAGAAAGGCCAAAAAGATCGGACCCAATAGCAGTCAAGCTGCTGCAGGGCTCGGACATTCTGAGGCTCATGTTCGCTGGTGGTTTTGTCTTTGTCATTCCAAAGGACTTTGATCTTCTCTGCAACTTCCTCCACTTGTGCCACGCGCCATCGCCCGGAATCCAAGACCTCCACCGAGGTGCCGAAAACATACGTGGTCTGTGTCTCAGGAGGCCTGCTAAGCAAGATAAGCACCTGAAACTCCTCCTTTCTGGCAGTCGCTTGCCCAACTCTCGTCTCATCATGTCAGAAATGGTTGCTAGGGACTGGGAGGCCTTGATTCGCAAACTGAATCGCCGCTCTCCGGACTTGGCTGGCACTTCCCCATAGTTGGCATACGCCTTCTGAAGGTCTTTGAGCAACGCCGCGGCGCAGGACCTTTGCCTGAGATACCCCGTGCAAAACGCCATCTGCCCAACGAACCGAACGGCACAGCCGCTGGCCGGTTGCAGAACCTTCCCTACAAAGGTGCTGACTGTGTTGACAAAGTGTTCATCCGGAAAATATCTCCGGTAGGTGCCCCACTCGCCGTCTTCAGCCAAGGCAATGGCGCCGTGCTGCCCAAAGTCGCATCCACTCTGATCCTTCCACTTGGTGCTCATGATGGTGAGCTGAGCCGATGCTCTCTTCTCGCGATCCCCGAAGATCGCGACTAAATCCTCACTTGCAAGAACTTGGACATATTTGGGACCTTGACTCAAAATGAAAGAAACACGTAAACCCCCAATAGGTTAAAAGGTCGGGTTGAAGGCCTGTTTCGACTTAGAACGGACGCGGCGCCACGTGGACGACCAAAAGGCCAAACTCAAAAGCTCAATTCGCTTGGGCAAGTAAGGGTCAAACCGAGCGCGGATCTTCGACTTGTCCACCTCCATCTGCTTGCCTTCCACACTGACCCAGACTTGGTCGTGGAAGGC